TTAATCCCTCTAATACCTTCCTAATCGCATCATCAATACGCACATTAACATTTTCGCAGCTTCTTATCCTTTTTGGATGACAGATGTTTTTCCATCTCAACAGCAATCGGCGGCCAATGGCCAGTGGCTTTAGTCAATGCTTGCGCGTTTCGCTCTCTAATGAACTGATTCAAGCCGACGTAATCGAGACGTCTTCATTGTTTATAACAACTGGCAGCCCTGCTCGCTTTTCTCAGCATGGAGATACGTCTCTACGATTTTGGCCTCGCAATGAAAAAAATTGTCTATGGAATTCTAGAAAAAAAATCCATTTGGATATTGTATTTTTCAAAATAAAATCGTATTTCTAGGAGGTAATATCTCAGTGAATTTTGGGAAAATGCGGTTTTCCGGAGATACACATATCAACGGCAAGTCCCCAATAAATTTCTCTCAATCCAACCAAGTCCCCCTGAAAGCAAATCCGATCCTCTCTCTCTTTCCAACTTCATCTGTTAGCAACCGAGCGAGCGCAGCACATAGCCCGATGAGTTAGGTTGGGTCAATGGGAATTCAGTTAACGAAATGCATTGCACTCGTTCCGGTTCTCCTTAGATTCAAATGGAACTACGATGACGAGACAATGTGCACGAAGATTTCCCAATGGCAATGGCCTAGCTTGGATAAAATGCAAAAAGTATGGGTAAAAAAGAAGTATTAGGTTAGGATAAAGACTGTAAGTAAACCCATGGATCTATAACATCGGGGTAATGCTCAAGTACCAAGTTACTTTTCCTAATTATGGAAGCTTATAACTTGAAAAAGAAACATTTTCTTTTGAGGAAAAAAAATCCACAGAAGAGAGCTCAAAACGAGTAAGGTTTATCATAAGAATGAACAACTTCAAAGAGAATATGAAATTAAGAATTATCCAAAACCCAGAGAAATTTGGCACATAGATTGTATTTAGCCAAATCTGATTTGAAAGAGCTTTACCAGGTTAAACTTGCAATTAGCTTTCAATTGCCCACAAGTAGTCAGGAAACACCTTCTAAGTTCGATTAAAACAAGCAAGTCGATTTAGATGAATGCAGTTGTAAGCTTTACTAATTTCTGCCAGCTAAATTGGAATCATCTCGTACTCTATTTATCCCTAGAAGGCTAAAAAGATAAGAACAGCCTGAATGAAATGTGGATTGACAGAAAACGGAAAACAGACGATGGATGCGTTTCTCAACGGTGAAAGGAATATCAGACTAGCAGAAGAAGAAGCTAGCCAAAAGCAAAAAGAGTAGATAAGCACATTTAGAAAGATACTTGGAGTGGAATACACTTTAATGTATTGTATATGATCAAAAAGAACTTATTCTCAGCGAAAAATAACATCTTTTACATGCTAGGGTGAAGAACGATTCATGAAACAGAAATAATTTAATTCTAAGAATAGGAAATTTTTCTCTTCTAATCGCTTTTGGATAATCCAAATTGATTGGACGTTCCGCTTTGTGGGCTTAGACCACGAGAACCTGTCTAAAATCTCTGTGAGCCGATTATAGAAGCTACGTCTCTTCCCTCACGCGGATAGTTTTTTTGTCGGAATTTTTTCTGCAAAAGTTAA